CGGGCGGCCTGCAGCACCCTGCGCACGTCACGCCAGCGTCGAGTCTAGGAACAGAACACCATTGCGACCCACCGTCTCAGTGGGCTCGCACGTTTGGGGGGAGGCCAGGGGGAGGGGGAGGGGGCCATGGCTTCTTGGAGGCAGGCTGCGTCTTAGATGGCGCTGGCCTTGCCTTTTGTAGAGAAGGCCCGCGCCTTCTGCGAAGCCGGGGCGCTGCAAAGGAGCCTTCCCCCCTCCCCTGGCCATCGCTCGGACGTCCATTTCCTGTGTGTTTTCCACTTTCGTGCGTGGTTCTTCCGCCAAGTGATCAAGGATGCTGCTCAAGGGTCCTCGCCGAAGGAAAAATGCACACGCCCGAGCGATGCCACGTCCCCCTGCCCCCCCCCCCCCCTCTGCGCGCGTGGCTGAGGCCCACGGCCTCCGTGGGCGCGCAGGTTCGAGGGGCTCCACCCCTCGCGGCCTCCACCCCCTCCCGCGCCCGTCGTCGCCCGCGCTCCTCCGTGGAAGGGGCCCTGGGACACACAAATAGACAGAATCACATCCCAGGATTCCCCTATCTTTTCTCATATTTTCTGGGTTTTCGTCTTCCCCCCTCACTTCCCACATTTTCCCATGTTTTCCCCAGGAATCGACGATTCATTGTGTCTGTGTGTTCTTTCCCTCCTGATCTGTGTCGCCTGTCGTCGCCGCACCGCAACGCGCTGCACACGAAAGGGGTGCGCGCCCTGCGCGCGCACGGCGCGCGCCTGCACAGGGTTGGGGCCTCCGCCACGCCGCCTGCTCGCCTGGAAGACTGGTAGCAGCAGGAGGCTGGGATCGGACGGGGCTGGGACGAGGACAAACCCGTTCCAGAGCTTGCCGGAACGCTCTCGGAGCGTTCCGGGAAAGCTCTGAGAAGGCCGCGGCGCCCCAGACATCCTCCAGAACCGCCGGATCTCAGAGATTCTCGGGAGGAGGAGGAGGAGGAGGAGGAGGAGGAGGAGGAGGAGGAGGAGGAGGAGCAGGAGCAGGAGCAGGGGAGCAGCAGGAGGAGGAGGGGAGGAAGAGGACGTGGAGGAGGAGGAGGAGGAGGAGGAGGAGGAGGAGGAGGAGGAGGAGGAGGAGGAGGAGGAGGAGGAAGATATCTATCCTCACCCGATGTTAGCCTCGTCCTGGCCTCGTCGTAAGGGAGCACGCACGGCTGGATCCCCGCGCGGGGGTATCCGGCGGCCGCCCGCCGGAGGGGCACGCTCGGAGGCCTGGCGCGTGCCGGACGCACGAGGGCCGGGCGCGGGAGAGACGCCTCGGGGCCACGCGTGAGGCACTCCACAGAGCTCGGGCGTTGGCAGAGGAGGAGGAGGAAGAGGAGGAGGAGGAGGGAGGAGGAGGAGGAGGAGGAGGAGGCGGAGGAGGAGGAGGTCTCGTGGGGCCTGGTCTAGCGGTGTGTGCCAGAACCGCCGCCGGTCTGGTTCCGTGGGGGACCTGGTTCGGTGGGACCCGGTCTGGTGGGACCTGGCTTAGGGATGTGGGACCTGGCTTGGTGGGACCTGGTTTAGTGATGTGGGACCTGGTTTGGTGGGACCCGGTTTGGTGGGACCTGGTTTGGTGGGATGACCCCCCCCCCCGCTCCACGAACCAGAACCGCCGCAACTGGAAAAAACACCATCTGCGGCAGACCTGGTTTAGTGATTCTGGCAAGTTTAAGGCTCCAGGGCCCTACTACTGACCGGGTCCCCTGACCTTTGGCCCTGGCCATACCCGAAGAGTGCCGTGCCGTCGAGAGTCGAAGGTCGGCGGAAGCAGGACGAGGCCGCCTCCGTCGGCGGAAGCTCGGCGGAAGCAAAAAATGCGGCCCCGAGAGATGAGGAAGAGGAGGAGGAGGAGGAGGAGGAGGGAGGGAGGAGGAGGAGGAGGAGGAGGAGGAGGAGGAGGAGGAGGAGGGGAGGCGGGAGAGAGGGAGGGAGGGAGGGACGCGGGGCGCCGTCTCTTCAAAACGAGGACCCAACACCTCAGGATGGTTGGGAAAACTGCGCCCCCAGGAGATGTGAAGGGCACATTTTTGGGTTCAGGGTCTCCGAGATCAGCCGTGTGCGCCCGGCTGTCGCCCGGGCCAGCCGCACAGCGGGTGTCCAGCCGCCCCGTCGACGGCAGCACCAGAGGCCCCCAGGGTCACCCTGGCCCAGACATCGCGGGCCTCGAAAAATCGGGGGCGGAGGTTTCTCGTCGTGTTTGCGGCCTCTCGGGGCCCTCGCAGGGCCTCGGGACCGTCAAGAAACGACTCGGGATGGAGGCACCGGCCCCGGGGAAGTGGTCGGGAGGTCGGGTGCCCGAGTCTGGAAAAAATCGAGACGTCGGAGTACGCGGCGCAAGGCGCGAGCCCCATGTTGGAAACCAGCTTCCTTTCGTCCGCGCAGCGGGCGGAAAACTCGGGGCCGTAAAGCCACGCCTGTGTCCGCCTCGACGATACGCGCGGTGGTGCGACAGGGAGGGGTGCGGACGAGGAAAGGCATGGGGGAACTGA